AGCACCGCAGCCCTAGAGTCGGACTCGACTGGCTTTCGAGCAAGGGAGACCTTTACCTTTTTAATATGGATAACTCCGTCCTCTTAATTTGTCTGATTCCCTTTTGAAGATTATCACCTCATCGGGGCAGCAAATTCCCAATGCTATTTATGCATTACACGAAGGGCTTTTCTGTTCTCTGTCTTGAAGAAGAAGGAGAAGAGAATGGATTTATACCCCGCCCTTCACTACCCAAGGGAGTCTCAGAGCGGCTCACAATCTCCTTTCCCTTCCCCTCCCCACAACAGACACCCTGTGAGGCAGGTGGGGCTGAGAGCTCTTTCCAGAACTGTCCTTGAGAGAACAGCTCTGAGAGAACTTGTGACTGACCCAAGGTCATCCAGCAGCTGCAAGTGGAGGAGTGGGGAATCGACCCCGGTTCTCTCCCAGATTAGAGTCCGTGCACATAACCACTGCACCAGACTGGCTCTATTGCCAGCTGATTTCACAGGATGACTTTCTGTGCAATCCTAAATTCAGGCGGCCGGCCGTGTTGGTCTGAAGTAGCGGAGCAAAGTCTGAATCCAGTCAGGCACCTTTAAGCTTATACCCAGAATAACATTCGGATGGTCTCAGAGGTGCCCCTGGATTCAAACTTTGTTGTGCAATCCGAAGAAGACTTTGCTGGGAGGAAGCCCCACCGGACAGACCTCGGTAGGGCTCTGAGTAGATCTGATTAGGGTTGGGCTCGGAGTCTAGTATTTACGAGATTAGGAGGGAAGTTTCTCTGTGTTCACTCTGTCCGCCCCAAGCATAATTTTATAAACTTTTCCTTAGTCATCTCCCCATAAAACAAAGCTGCACTCTTAAGAGAATAAGTCCCAGTGGACTCAATGGGATTTGCTTAGAATCACAGAATGTTAGTTTGAAGGGACCTTGCAGGCAACACAGGCCATCGAGTTGGAGCACAGCCAAAAGACAGCACTACAACATACCCGAAAGAGGGTCCTCTAGCCTCCGCTTGAAAACGTCCAGCGAAGGCGCCTCCACCACCTCCCAAGGCAGACTATTCCACTGCTCAACCACTCTTACCGTTAGAAAGTTCCTCCTGATATTTAGCCGGTAACGACTCCCTTGTCATTTCCACTCATTAGATCTAGTCTCGCAATCCAGAGCAAGAGAGAATAGATCTGTTCCGTCTTCTACGTGACAGCCCTTCAAATACTTGAAGACGGCAATCATGTCCCCTCTGAGGATAAGAACATAAGAGATGCCAATGTTGGATCAGGCCAATGGCCCATCCAGTCCAACACTCTGTGTCACACAGTGGCCAGAAATACCAGGGGCCACCAGTGGGGCCAGGATACGCGAAGCCCTCCCACTGTTGACCCCCCCCCCAAGCACCAAGAAGACAGAGCATCACTTGCCCCCAGAGCCCCTATCTATACCTTGTGGCTAAGAGCCAATGATGGACCCCTTTGCTCCATATGCTTATCTAATTCCCTTTTGAAGTCGTCCATGCTTGTAGCCGCCACCACCTCCTGTGGCAGTGAATTCCAAGTGTTAATCACTCTTTGGGTGAAGAAGTACTTCCTTTTATCCGTTCTAACCCGACCGCTCAGCAATTTCATGGAGTGCCCACGAGTTCTTGTATTGTGAGAAAGGGAGAAAAGTGCCTCTTTCTCTCCCTGCTCTATCCCATGCATAATCTTATAAACCTCAATCATGTCACCCCTCAGTCGTCGTTTCTCCAAGCTAAAGAGCCCAGGCATTGCCTTGGCAATTTGATTCCCCACTCCTGCTCCTCCACATGCAGCTAGCTGGGTGACCTTGGGTCAGTCACATCTCTCTCACTCTCAGAGCTCTCTCAGCCCCACCCACCTCACAGGGTGTCTGCTGTGGGAAGAGGAAGGGAAAGGAGATTGTGAGCCGCTCTGAGACTCCGAGGGAAGGGCGGGGCATAAATCCAATCTCTTCTTCTTCTTTGCAGGTCACATCCAGCCAAGGCAAACCCTTTAAAAGCTTAATTAAAATGATTGTGGGACTGTGGAACGCAGAGGCTTGACATTTGTCTTGGATGGTATGGGGTTGCCCCACATGGAACTTCGTAGCATTTGAAATTTAGAAGAAGAATAGATTGGATTCATGCGGTAAATCTGGCGTTCATGCTCCTTCATGGAAACAAAAATCCGCTTACACAGAAAGCGAGCATTTCAGGGAGAAGTCTAGCTTAGAGCTCAACTTCCCAGCATCGTAGCTGTTGGTGCGGATGTGTGCTATAGAGGAACAGTCAGTTTTTAATCTATACTTATGGTTGCCAGCAACCTGGAGGAAAAAGTGCCCCGCCCCCTTAAAGAGGCTTAACGGGATGTTATTTTTCTCCATGCCAGGTGGGCAGCCCTGTTGGTCTGAATGGAGTCCAGGGGCACTTTTATGACCAGCAAGGTTTAATTCTGGGCATAAGCTTTGGTGTGCAAGGCTGTACCTGGAGGAGTGTGCAGACGCACCAAAGCTGATACCCAGAATTTAAAGCTGTTGGTCTTAAAAGTGCCTGACAGGGCTCAAACTTTGCTCTGCCTGTTTCCACACATTAAGCCTCTATTAAAGCACCAGGAGGGAGCTGCCCTGGCTCAAGCGGTTAAGAGGCTGAGCTGCAGACCAGAAGGTGGGTAGTCCAGCAGTTTGAGACCTGAGTGTCTCCTGAGGGAGTGAGCTCCCTTCTCTGGCCCCCAGCTCCTGCCAACCTAGAAGCAGGAGACGGTCAGTTCTACTGCGGACCTGATAGGAGCCCTCCGGGAAGGGGGGAGGGGCCTAATCCGGCCCCCGGGCCGCATGTTTGACACCCCTGAGCTAGAGTCCTCCCACCGAGTGCCTGGAGCTCAGGTGGGATTCCGGGAGACCTCCAGGCCCCACCTGGAAAACGGCAATCCCTCCACCGATACGGCCTTGGCCCCTGACACGGTCCTACTGGGCGGGTGGCTCCAGTTGCAAAGGTCTGCCAGGGCGGAGGGCGCCACACCCCACAGGAGGAGCCGCCAATCCCCCGAACTGGGGAAGGGGGGGGGAGACCCAGCACGACAGCCCTGCACGGCCCGAGACTCTTGCGTGTCGGGATTGCACGTCGGAACCGCGCCTCCCGCCCCCCCCCCAAAGCCGCGGTGTTTCCCGGGGGCCACTTGTGGCTGGGGCGGCAGCGGGACAGAGTCGGGAGTCCGGCGGGGCCCCTTGCGGGCCAGCGGAGCTGCGCTCCGGGGAGAAGCTCCCGTCCCGTGCGCCGCGTGCGCCCTGCTCCGGGGCCCACGAGCGCCACTCTGCTGCCGGGGGGCCGAAGCCACCCGGAGACCCGTCGGGCGAGCCGAGAGTCACGCTGGCCGCTACGCCCGGGGGGGGGGGGGGGGGGGGGCG